TTTAACTATTTTTTCTGCTCCGTTCTCTAATATGTATTTATAATCACAGGTAATGGGACAAGAACATCACTGCCATTGAATTCTTTATAAATGCTGCTGTAATCCAGGTGATACTGTTTTCTAGTGTCAGTGGGATTTTATAATAATAGAGAGGTTAAAACATTTAAATTAATTGATGGAAGAAAATGTAGCATATATTATGTTTAATTGAATAATTTGTTGGAAATAATTAATTGGCTAATTGGTCTACGCTCCTACAAACCCACTGTCTCCGAGTATAATTACATATCACCAACAACCTTTGTGGTGTTCTCTGGTGGTTATATCTTTTTAGGTCATATCAACTATAGTTTTTAAGTGACGATTCCTCATTTTCAAAATCTAAAGCTCTGACAGTTATCCTACCACACCCCTAATAATCAATCCTAACCTGTCTCCAAATCCTGGCCTTCATTCTTAAAAGGAACTTTGCATTTGTTTCCCTAATGTTTAACTATGTTGACTTAGCCTGGGCCTCAGGATGTAGTCGGGGAGCTGTTGCCAACCTCACTCCTTCACCTTCAGGAAACGGGTCAGGGCTCCTTCAGAGAAAACACTGCTGAGGCCTTGTAGGGTTATGTAAATATGCCATGCAAAAGGAAACCACAATGATGTCAGCAAGACCCTAATCTCTTCTAGCACCAATTTGGTGATTGAGCATTTCACGATGATATTATTGTCAATCTCTGGTTCCTCTCAGCTTCAATTTGTTTTGTTTATTATTATCTAAAGAAATGTTTTTGGCTTTTGCTTACATAGCCACACCACTGCTTGATTATAGAACATTATAAAAAAATGAGTTATATAGGATATACCTTATAAGTTTTATGTAGATAGTATCTTCATGGGACATATTTATAAAGAAATGCCTAGTTAAGGGTTAAATTAATATTAAAATATCAGTTATTAAATAAACAAACAAATGTTTTTCCTCATTTGTGAAATTTATTTTGACCTGCATAGCGGAGGTTGACTCCCCAAAAGATAAATGGCTGATCTCTGTGAGCTTTCGTGACCGTCCTCTGGAAGGTTGTTTATACTTCTGTTGGTGTTTAACTTAGAGGAAAATATATAGTCCTCTTATTCTAACTCCTGGCTGTTTTTGAACTTTTACATATGCTTATGGTGTTAAAGGTATGTTTCAAGCCTTTCAAGTAAATCCTTAATATACTTCTCATGTTTTGTTTCCAAATCTTAGTGTGACTAGTTGATACCGTGTGATGGCCCCTCTGTGCACATGGCCAACTTCTATAACTAATGATCAGTGATGACTGTGCCGCTTCCTGTTCAGAAAGGCCTGCAGGTGACAGAGCTGAGCATTTAGCAGAGAGCCTCCCAACTGTGCAGCGCAAACCCTCTTTCACAGAATCTGAATTCATTTGAGTACTTGATGCTCTACCAGGGTCATGACCCGCCAGCCTCGCATGCTGGCATCTTGACTTTAAAGCCAGTGCCTCATTGCACATTGATCTGTGAAGGAGCGTGTTTCATTAGCTGCATGTAATTTTGAATTTCCACTGAACAGGCAAAGCTTTGAAGTGCAGAAGCCTAAATAATTTTAGATTCCCCATGTTACATTTTTCTAAATGAAGAGATTAAACAAAATGATTACTACATTCCCTTCCAATGATTTAATTGTCTGATTTTTCTTGGCACTTCAGGACTAATATGATAGTCAATGAAGCAGTCAAGGTGTATTTATGCAAACATTTATACACTCGTCTATCTGTCCACCTGTCTCCCTCATTTATCATTGTCCATCTATCATCTGTGTGTAACTATTGTCCATTAAACCCATTCTGTGTAACAGAGTTACATACTGAAGAGGAAGTAAAACTTGATTTTTGTCTGTAGAAACTCCTGATAGACTTGGCCAAATGTTAAATAAAAGAATATAACGTCTGTTGATTTCCTTTGATCACTGGTTATTTTGAGTTTCTTCCTATTTTTGATGAGGTTCATGTGTGGAAGGATTTCCCACATATTGAATGTTACATTCCAGCGCGAATTTGGGGTCACCAATAGTGCCCCTACCCTAAACACCAATAGTGCCCCTACAGAGATGTTTATAATCGTCGTCTGGGCCTGTGACCTGGGTCCCTCCGTCTCCATTGTTGTGGCTGGGTGGGGAAAGGCATCACCTGATCAGAGAAGAGGAGTCAAATTTGCTTTCTGGGCCTGCTATCCAGATTTCCTGGTGCTGTAAAATGCTTTGATGAAACTTAGAAAACTATTTATGGATCTTAGAGCCTGGCTGTCTGGTTTTCTATGTCTCTTGAATATGAAAGGAAGCAAATAGGTCGGGCTTCATCGGGGAGGTTGCAATTTGAAGATGCCTGTGACATTAGGTGTGTTCCAGGGATACTGTTGTTTAGGAACTTGCACAGGAAAATTTGAGGCCAGGTTTTCCTTGGCAGTAGAAAGAAAAGAAATACCTTCTTCACTGTGTCCCAGAGCTTCTTGAGAAAGATGACTGTCACATTCATAGAGTGCAAGCTTAAAACTGCTGATCTCTTACTATGTCTCTTTAGCTTTCTTAAAATTCATTTCAGGACACAAAAATAGATGTTCTGCCTTAAAGGATACAACTGGTCTCAGGAGGTGACACCAAAGAACCTGTCAGCAGAACTTTCTTTTATAACTGGGAATTTCTACTTGGAGCTCCCCAAACTCAGATGGCAATGAGCTGTGGTTCCCCAGTATAGTGCTGTCCAACCCAGAGCCTAGAACCAGCACCTGGCCCCCTGCTCATGAAATCAGAAGTGTCAGCCGCCTCAGAGTGTTTGCTTCAGGGTCACCCTTATTCTTGGTGTGCCAGCGCGTACTTTGCAAGGAGGCCTGCTTTGGCTGTGCCTTTTGGGCCAGAGATTGCCAGAAACCAGTTGGCACACAGGTCTGGGGCACATGCTTTGCAGAAGCTGTCCCTGAGACTGTGCTCACCTCTCCCCCATCCAATAGCTATTGTGCAGCCATCCCAGGCTGAGCTAGTCCACTGTCAATTCAGGCAAATGGAAAAGGAATCTTGGAACCTTAGGTATGTCTGACATTCCTTTAATGCTGAAGCAGGGGACTAGATGCAGGGGCAGAACAGCAACCAAGCCTCCTAGCCCCCATCATGTCTGCCTTCTCGGGCTGGGTGTCTGTGTTTATAGGTGTGTGTGCACATGCTTGTGCTCCTGGGCACTTTTTACACTTTGTACAGTATCACATGTGAGCAATGGAACCTGGGAGGAAAACAAAGCTATGGGTGGTGGCTGTGCAGGCTGGTGGCAGAAGGCTAGAAAGAGCCTGAGTTACCCAGTTTCCTACAACATCACACTCGGAGCGTCTCTTACAGTGCTTCTGTCTCTTACCCCCATGTTCTGTCTCTTACCCCACTGTAGGGCTCTGCCCTACAGTGCTGATCGAGCAGAGGCCTTCCCGCATTTGCTCTGGCTAGTGGCTCTGCAGCTGCCCAAGGAGCCCCTAGTGAGATCCTGACCCCTAAGTCTTGCTACTGGACGGGGTATGTGGTGTAGTGAGTTATAAATGAGCAACAGTAGGCTGAGTTGTCAGAATTTCCAGGGTGCTTATTTAAGTTGGAGAAAAATGAAAGACTAAGATTTATCAAGGAAAATAGATGAGAAGGGTAATGAACCTATAATATTTGAGTTGAGTTTCTTTTACTAGTTCAGATTCTTTATCCAAAGTGTGTGTGTGTGTGTATGTAAATATAAATGTGTGTGTTTGTATGTGTATATATGCATACATTTTTTTTCTGGCAAACTATTACCCAATATTAATTGTTAGTGAATGTCATGGATATTCACCCTACTGATTGTCGCTCTACCTTGGTCTGCTTTTCGGTACGTTCACACTCATTTGCTTGGTGCGTCTGGTTGTCATACTAGAATTCGCTGTAACACGATTGCTTCCATTTTATCAAGAAGCAGGCCTGATGGCTAGATCAGTGCAGATAACGGTTTAGACACTGTTAGACTGGAAGAGTCAAAAAATCAATAGGACTTTCTGGATTTAAAATTTGTTTAATATATCTAATTAATTAGATAATTAAGTTAAAATACTGCTTTTTGTAGAAACTTGGAAATTCAGAGAAGCCTAAGAAGAAAACTAAAATCTCCTTTAATCCTAAGCAGACATGGCATTGTTTTGGGTTACTTCTCATTATCTTTTAATGGATATGTGTGTGTGCATTAATACCAATTTAAACAATAAAATGTGCATATGTAAGTTTTCCTAGCATAGGTCATTTCAGCATTTTTAAGGCTTTTGATTAATATTGCCAGTATACTTTCTCAAAGTGTGAGTCAAATTTCATGATTAATTAATAGCACTTCTTGTTTTACTTAAAGTACATTCAAATTACTTCATAAAAATAATTTATTGATGAAATAGAGAGTGTTCTTTTGTGATTAGTTTCTAGTACAGGGGATAAATTTTTAATAAAAATCTTTTAAAGGTTTAGAAATAAATTTTATTAGATTGAAAGAAGGAATAATTATTTTGTCTCAATATAAAAAATGCAATTAAATTATGTCATGTCTTAGGGATCTCTATAGGGTTTCCTGTTTTGAGCATGTTTGCCTGCATATAATGGGGACAAAAACATAGTATTGGGATTTTAAGCAGTGTTTAATGATCTCACAACAACTTGTAATATTTTGGAGGTTGCTCATTAAATCTAAAAAGCTAACATCTACCAGTAAATACTTGAAATTTGGATGATGGTACATTCTGTTTTGAAAAACTGGGCAATCAGTGTATTGAGGATTTAGAAACTATTATTTGCAAAAAATAATAGGGGAAACATTTGAATCTGTTACATTTGCAATATAATTTAACTGTTTTTCTTGAAACAACTCATCTGTGGACTGTATTAAAACAGTGTATACCGGCAACTCCAACTCCATGCAGTTTGGCATTTGTACATAACATTTTTTATGTTATCTTTTTCTCTTCAGGACATCCAGGCAGAAATTGATGCCCATAATGATATATTTAAAAGCATCGATGGAAACAGGCAGAAGATGGTAAAAGCTTTGGGAAATTCTGAAGAAGCTACTATGCTTCAACATAGACTGGACGATATGAACCAACGATGGAATGACTTGAAAGCAAAATCTGCCAGCATCAGGTCAGATGATTCCTTATCAAAATAAAAATAGTCAGATGGATGTTTGTGAGTTTATATTGATTTAGTAGAGGCTGGGAAGGCTTTCTATCATGCTACTTCCTCACTAACAGATTTACATGTAAAGACTTTTTCAAGGGTAAGTTTCAGTTTTAACTTTATTCATGCTAGTGCTTTGTACCAACTGTTCCTGACTATTCACAAGTTTTATAACTTATTTTAAAACTAGTGATGCTTGTAACAATAGTGTTACCAACTTTAGCTAATTATGGAGTATTAACCTTGACCAAGCATGATGTTAGGCTCTTTAGAAATATATACTTAATATTAAACAACTTCTAATAAGAGACATGATAAAATCCTATCTTCATATGAGAAACTTGATTGTTAAGGAGCAAAAGCCACGCCCGGATTTGAATCGAGAGCTTTTAGACTTTTGACAATGAACATGTTTTGCTTTATCATGCTGTTGGTGCCACCTATTTTAAGGTGTAGTTATAGAAATTAAACATCCCTTATGGGCACTGAAGTGTAAAACTGATGATTTATGCCTACAGTTGGAGAAAGTAAAATTAAATATGTATGATACCTGAGAACTAGAATGTTGACTCAGAAAGGACCTTGAAAAAATACCTATTCTGACAAATTGATGCTATTTGGAATTAGGAATTTTTGAATGAGAAGCAATCAGTGATGGACAGTTCCTAATTGGATCTATATCGGTTTAGAGGAAGTGGATATTATTGGCAAAGACCCAAAAGAAGAATGTTAGAAAGACCTAGATAGAGGACCATATCCTTGCTAAATTCTGTTTCCAAATGGATGCTAATTTCCACTTCAAAATTTATCTGCATTTTAAAAATAATCCTCTTATTGATATCACATTGACTTACAACACTGTATGTGACTTAAAGATACAGAATTGCACCTCTTCAGATAGATGTTACAATGATATATCCACCACCAAGGTACCTATAGTTTGCCACCCTGTTTCTTTTGGTAAATACTACTATTTTTTTTCTTTAAAGATTTATTATTTATGCATACAGAACTGAGGTACAGCACAGTGCTGCAGGGGTGGTGAGAATCTTCACCAGAGATAGAGTAGGGGGCAGAACAGGCAGATTGATGATGTACAGTGCTGAGGAGAGCAGTGGGCGAGACAGGAGAGGTCCGCTATGCCATATGGGTCATCTCCAAGCTGGAGGTGCTGGGGATCAAATTCGGACTGAGGCAGCTGCGTCTAGCTTGCAGTGCTGTGCCCTAACCTACGGTGCCACCAGTGAGGTCCCCCCCCCACCACATTTCTTTTTGTTTCTCCTTCTTCCTCCCCCACAAGTCAGTTTTTGTCAGATTTTGGCTTCCCTTGTTTCCTCTATGTTCCGCATCAATGAAATTATCAGGTATGTGTCTTTCTTCTGTCCTGCCTCCAACCCCAGCTTAGATAATCACCTCTGGTTCCATCTGTGTTGTCATAATGCTGAGTTAGTCTTTTTTTTTTTTTTTTTTCTAATAGCTGATTAGTATACCACTGGGCATCTATACCACAGCTTCCTAATCCACTCAGCTGTCCTTGGGCATTTCAGTTGTTTCCATAAACTGGCTACTGTGAGCAGTACCTCAGTACGTGGGCAAGCATATGCTTACATTAGTGCGTTTCCAATCTGCTGGCAATTACCTGGCAATGGAAATGCTGGCTCGTAGGGTAGGTCTATGTTCACTATTTTGAGAAATCTCTATATCTTGCTACAGTTTGCAAAATTACTGCACCTGTCTATATCCCCACCAACAGTGTTAAGGGGGGTTCCTTTTTCTTCATGTCCTCACCAATGCTTGTTCCTGATCCTTTTGATGGTGGCCATCCTCATAGTGTGAGGTGATGTCTCATTGGCCTTTTTTTTTTTTTTTTAAAAATTTATTTGTCATACAGAACTGGGGTACAGGCCAGAGGCTTAGGGGCGGTGAGAGGCTTCACCAGAGACAGAGCGGGGAGCAGAACAGGCAGATCGACGAAGTACACTGCTGAGGGGAGCAGCGGGCGGGTCAGGAGAGGTCTGCCGCGCCATGTGGTCACCTCTGGGGCAGGCGGGAATCGAACTCATGCAGAAGTGGCTTTAGCTTCTCAGTGCTGTGCTTTAACCCGCTGCACCACCAGGGAGGGCCTCATTGTGGTTTTGGCTGCATTTCACTGATGATAAGTGATTGTGAGCATTTTTTCAGGTATCTGTTGGTAAAATTTCTGTTTATAGTATAAGATCATGGTCTAGTTTAATTCTGTGCCTTTAACTATTTTCCCTAACATCATGAAGAACTGTTTACTTCTCCTTTGTATATTCTTGGCTCCTTTGTCATAGGTTAACTGTCCATATAAATATGGGTTTATTTTTGAGCTCTCCATTCTATTCCCTTGGTCTGTGTGTCTATTTTTATTCTGACATTCTACTGCTGTGATTACTATAGCTCTATAGTACATCTTCAGCTCTGGGGCATTTGATGCCTCTATCATTTTAGTCAAGATTTATTTGACTAGTTGGGTATTTTGTAGTTCCTTATAAATTTTAGTAACATTTGTTATGTGTTTTAGAAGAATGTCATTGAAACATTGTCAGGAATAGCACTGAATTTATATGCTTTTGGATAAAATGGCACTTTTAGCAATGTTAATTTCTCCAGTCTATGAATAGTGAACATCTTTCTATTTTTGTATCATCATCATCTATATCTTTAACTAATATCTTACTGTTTTCATTGTACATATCCTTCTCTTCCTGTTTTAAGTATACTCCCGGGTATATAAAATTTTTGATGTGATATTAAAAGGGATTGTTTACTTAATTTCTTTCTCTGATCATCCATTTCTGAATATAGGAATGTAACTGATTTTTGTAAGTTGATTTTGCAATCTGCCACTTTACTGCATTTACTCATTGTTTCTATGATGGCATAGTGATCGTTTTAGTTTGTAATATATATTGATGAGTATAATATCTTCCTATTGTACTGATTCTTTCATTACTATATAATGTCCAAACCTGCCTTGTGTCACATGTGTTAGATGGAGTTCAGCTGATGTATATATGGCTGTTCCTATCCTTTTTTAGGTCCCATTTACTTGTACATTTGTTTTATAAACATTTACTTTGAGCCTATGATTATCTCTGGAGTTCAGAACTGTCTCCTGGAGAAAGCAGAACATTGAGTTTTGTTTTTTGATCCACCCAGCCACTCTCACCTTTTTAATTGGTGAACTCAGTCCATTTATAGAGTGTAGATAGACATACGAGAATTTGCTGCTGTCATTTTGTTCTTAGGTTTCTTATTCTGTTTCCTTGTTCCATTTTTTCAGATTTTCCTTCTATTTAGATAGGAGAGCTTCTTTTAGTATATCTTGTAAGGGGCATTCTAGTGTTTGCAAACTTCTCCAACTTGTTTCTTGTCTTTCACCTGGTTGAGTTTATTTTTATGTTAAGAGATGTACTGAAAAAGTAAATGGTGTTGAACTTGACCCCTTGATTTTACTATTTATTTTCTGATGTGGTCATGTCACTTGGTCTTGCTGACTCTTAATTTTTGCATTAAAAATGAAAATATAGCTACTTAACCTATATGATTGTGAAGATTGAAGTGAGTGATCTGATAACTTCATGGTCTATGTAAACTGTATGTACATGTAAAATCTACTTTATTATTTTCATACATAAAATATCTTAGTGGATCTATTTTTACTATTTTCATAGAATTGTTTCATAGGGAGAAGTCACCAGTGATTGTTATGTGTGAATGACTTAAAAAAAAAATGCGTAAAGCATGCCCTGCAAGATTTTGATTCTTCTGGGACTCATAGAGAGAGGTTTGTAACTTCTTTCACTAAAAGAAGGAAGTAATGTAGCATGACCTGGGAAGCCTGCATAAATACCCTGTTAGAAATGAGTAAGCATAAACATCCTCTTTTTTTAATGAGATGAATATTAGAGAGTATTGTACAGAGAGAATGTATGTGTACTTGTTTACAATTTCATTTAAAACTAACCAGCTCCCACTCAGTTGCAATATATGTTGCCCATATATGTAAATAAATAGAAGTATTTAAAATGTCAACATGGTGAAAAACAATCACTGAGATTGTAGCAGAACAAACTTCTGGTCTAATGAGTTAAAAGCTATAGGGCTGGCCCTGGTGAAGACTGTGTATATGTTGCTGAGATACTCAAAGTAAAGGGTGAATCCTTTCAAAAAGAAAATGTAACAAAGATCTTTATCATGAAAAGACCGTTACAGAAAAAAAAAAATTCTTTGACCTTCCCTGGATATTAGTAGTTTAGCCTGTCAAATCATATTTAATTCTGAATTGGGCAAAAAGATTTCTTAATTTCAGTTGGAATACTAATAAATAAATCAATGAATGCTATTTTTGAAAGATTAGAGAATAGACATTTGTCAGTAAATTTCTGCATTGTGATAGATCAAACAGTCTAATATGATGTGTTATTAACTTGATAATGAATTAAAGTAATTTTTAGCTTCATTACCCACTTCTGGAAATGCAGACACTTAGTGAAGCATTTAATAAAAACTTTCTTCAACATTTAAGGCATTTTAGCCATCAACTGGGGTCCCTGTCCCCATGGGCTCATAGTTCTATCCAAGTCAAAGTGACCCCAAAGGAGGAAGTGGTTGCTTCTCTCAGATGATCATCAAGGGCTTCATGAAAGAGGTGTTTTTTGAGTAGAGCTTTGAAGGATGTGTAATTTTCCCCCATATTGATTGAAAAAGAATGTCTAAGCAGGAGACTCAACACTTTTCAAAGAACAGCTAATAAGGTTCTGTCTGGCTGAGAATAGAATTTGCTGCTAGTATAGAGGGGTATCGTAGCTAGAAAGAAAGAAGTGGGAGGGAAGTAAGACACAGTCTTGAACACCTCTGTGCCTGTACTCCATCGCACTGGTAATGGAATTTGAGAACTTTGAGTTTAGGCAAGATCCCTTCAACTCAAATATGGGGGA